CTCTGTTGAGCCTCATGGAGTTGTGACCTTCATTGCTTTTTTCTAGGATATTGTTTAGAATTGTTTGTAGTGCTGGTTTGGTGTTCATGAAATTTCTCAGGTGTTCTTGTGGTGGAAGTATCTAATTTCCTCATTGATTTTGAAAGATAATTTTGCAGGATACAACAGTCTAGGTGGGAAGTTTATTTTCATTTAGGGCTTGAAGTACTTCACTCCAGGCTATCCTTGATTTGAGGGTGTGTGTTGAGAAGTCTGCCATGATTCTGATGGGCTTTCTTTTGTAGGTGATTTATTTCTTTTCTCTAACTGCCTGTAGGATTTTGTTCTTCTGTTGGGTTTCTGGGATCTTGACTATTATATGTCTAGGTGTAGATTTTTTTTTTTTATCTTGGCTGGGCAGATTTCTATATCCCCTACTTATCTGTATGTTCAATTCTCTATCTCTGTCTGGGAAGTTTTCTACTATTACTTCTGTGAACAGATTTTTTATGTCATTTGTACTTACTCCTGTTTTCTTGTGGACTCCTATCAGTCTTATGTTATTCTTCTTTGCATCATCTAGCAGTTGTTGGATTGATTTCTCATGGTCCCTTACTATTTTTAAGAAATCTCTATTTTCATGGTCTCTAACTGTGATCCTGTCTTCTATATCTGATATTCTGTCTTCAGATTCCCTTAATCTGCTGTGGATGCTTTCAATGGAGTTTTTGATCTCCTGAATATCTGTTTGAATCTATTTCATGGATTCTATTTCTTTCTTATGTTGGGTGATCATAGTTTCCATTTCTTTCTTATGCTGGGTATTCATGGCTTCCAGCATATTTCTGAGCTCATCTATTTTTTTATCTGTTTCTGTTCTAGATCTTCTAATCATGTCTTTCACTCTGCTCACCATCTCTGTATAGACATCTGGGGGATTATTTCTGCTTTGAATTTTTCTAGAGCCTCATTCATCTGTTTTGTTACTTCTTGTGCTATCAGTTCAGAGTATGCAGGTGGTTGGTTATGGGACTTTTCCATCTCATTTCCCCCAGGATTTACCCTTGGTGGGGTGGAAGTGTGAGTTTGTACCTTGCTTAAATGTCTTCTCATTTTTTTTTTGGTACTGTCTTGGTTTAACTCCTGGGTTGATAGTTTGAAATTGCTTATTGTAGGTATCTTGGTTGCTTGTAGTTAGAACCCTTATGGATTGATTGCTTCTCAGAGGTGTCTTCCAGATATAGCTGGTCTTTAAGTTTTGAGTCTCTAATGACTCTAAGGCTATCTCATTTTCCTTATACTAGGAAGGTTCATTGACTAGATCAATAACAACACCTTACCCCAAGTGATACAATCAGTAACACCATTGCATCAAGTACAACTTCAAAAACGGCATTTTGTGGTAGTTATTAATCTATCACCTTTAGCTGTGTGAATTAAATCAAAATCAAGGACCAACCCAACATATAGTTAATAAACTCTTCAATATAATAACTTTACCCTTTGGGATGGAGAGTTAGAAGGGTTTGTGGAGGGAGGGACAGATGGAAAGAAGGATAGGGGAAGTTTAGCAGTGTAGCCAGATGACACAGGTGAGAAGGAGAAAGAGAATAATGGGAAAATAAAGAAGAACTCTGAATGAGGACAAAACAGGGACAAAAAGGGAAGATGAACAATGTGGGAGAGCAAGCGAGTGAGTGTAAGAGAGAGAGAAAGGAAAGAGAAAAGAAAGAAGAAAAGAAAAAAATGGAGAGAAAAACAAATATTTGCAAAGAGTAGGAAAAAAAATTAAAGAGGAGCAAAAGAAAAGAAAAGAGAAAAAACAAACTAATAATACTAATTTTGGAAATAAAAAGTAACAATGAAGATGAAGGACCTCTTTCAGGGTATGTCTCTGCTGTCACAATAGACAATGTGGGTAGCAGTGTGCAGATATAAGTCAATGAGTCTCAGCAAACTAGTTGCAGATCCATGAGATTCAGGCAGATTTCTGGCTGCAAGTCCCAAGTTGAGCTCCCTGTCCTCCTGTATGGTTGAACTCTGCAGAGTGGTATTGCAGGTTCCAGCTGCCCTTCCCCTGAAGATAGTCCCGGTACTGATGGAAGGTAAAGATAACTCCATCTTACCCAGTACAGTGGTCTGGTGGTCCGGTGTCCTCTGTGTCTCTGTAGTGTGGAACCAGGTGGCTGTACAGAGAAGAGGCCAGAGGAGCGGGATGGGGGGGTTCCAGTGGATTCCTGCCAGGGCACAGGCTAATTTGGCATGTTCCATGCGACTTGCAACCAGGTACAGCATCTGCAGACCTGCCTGTCTGCAGCGGGGTCCATAAGTCCATTTTTTGATGACAATATGAAAGTTGTTCTTGGTTCAAGCCTTAATGACAAGATTATGAGATTGGAGGGTCTTTGAATTGAGGGTATCTTACAGATTCAGTTCTGACCAGATAAAGAATGATGGTCAGGTCTGTAATTCAGAAATGAAAAAGTGAAGAAATAGAGATTGAAGGGATATTAACATAAAGAGCACTGACCTACATGGGCTGTCAACCCAAAGAGATCAGACAGTGGGGACAGAAAGTTATAAAATCTGCAGATTTAATCTCATCAACCTTGGCAACATCTTTCATGCCTGAAATTATCTGTTTTATGTTGCAAAATGACTTTTGTGATTATACAAATATCATCTCACCTAGAGCCTGTCTTTGGTTTTAGATACAGCTATCATGTGAAAAGGCAAATGATATAGCCCAGATGCCCACTATTGAGCGGTCAACTGCAGGAAGATTATTCTTCCTCTTCCCCGGCAACTGAAAATAGTAAGTACATAAAGTTATTGCTTTCAGGTAACATAATGAAAAAGTGATACTGATGGTGAGGTCCAATAACCAATGGCACCTGACTGTGTGGAGGATCAAATTAATGTTCTTTGTTCTAGAAAAACCAAGGCAAAAAGTGATAAACAATGGGAGACCTGGGAAACAATTTATAAAATAAAAATGTATTCATTCTTCCACTATTTATATTAATTTCTCCCTCCTCTCCATATCCATTCCTTTTTCCTGCATGCACACACACACACACACACACACACACACACACACACAGAATTGTCAAACATTACATCAGACACTAAACAAAACAGAAAATACAAAAAAGCCATCTGTGGAGAAATGAGCACATGAGCACTTTGGTACAGCAAAACGAGATACCACATGACTGACATACTCCTAATATTATCAGACAGCATGAAATATATTCTAGACTTGAATACTTGTGTCCTAGGACTCTGAGATCTGCTTCTCACAATATTGTCATGGTTTAGAAGAAAGATTGCTCAGTCAGACTTCAGACTTTCATTTACTGCTCAGAAAACTTCAAGTTTCCATGATAATCTTCAACCATTTATGATGAACATATTTTAAATAAATAGAACAAATTTAAGCCCAATGATTATTATATGCACAAGAACTTCATAACGCACAATATTATATTAATAAGCTCCCTCACAGAAACATACTGTAAATTGCATTTATTTTAAAGTTTATTTCCACATTGTAAGCATTTATCCACATCATCTCTTATTTCTGCCTTCTGACACTCTACTCATAAAAGTACTTGCATATTGTAACAGGACAGTCTTTATTCCCTCATTCATACACAGTACCACATTGAGCATCAAAAGTTTTTTACTAAAGTTTATCAATATTACTATGACCCAGGTTCTGTTCTACATGCATAAAATAAACCAATGAACAAAGTAAATGGAATCCTGACTGCAAGAAAGCTTAAACTCTAATAATCAGAGATATACTCTCTCATAGAGAGAAACATTTATCATAGGTCAGAAAAAAAATTTCAATAGAAAAATATATAAGCAACAGTAGTTCAAAAAGTGGCAGATGGTGTACTGCTGTAGAAAAATTAAGAAGGACATCTTTGAAATAAGGAAATCAAAAAACAAAGAGGAGACAGAGTGGGGGGAGCAAATATCATGGTTCTCATGAAGGAATTGCCTCACACCAGGACACAGCAAGGACACATGCCACGTCCTAGGGAAAAACATGCCAAATGTGTTTGAAAAGCTGGATGAGGAAAGTGTGAGTAGAGAATAAGAGATGAAGCAATGGCAGAGAGAGCTTAGAGAAATAGTAAAAAGCTTGAACATATGGGTTTTGGTGGTAAGCAGCAAAAGTTTTAAAACTTTTTATCCTATGTGAAAAAGAAACCCCTTAGAGTGCTTTTGAACAGTTAAGTCATTTTCCTTACGTGGCCAAAATATATGGCAAATGTTTAAAACAATTTATTGCCCTAAAAGACACATTTCCTTAAATACTTTCCCTCACTTTGAACATACTTATCCCATTGTTCTTACCACTTTCTGAAGATCTGGAAGTGCTCTTTAAAATGATGTGATGTCCCATGGAAAGTACAGCTAGTAATCATTACAGCCTTATTCACCAGATCTGGAATCATGTGACTTCTGATTCTTCCCCAAAGTCAAACTTACCATTGCATTTAAACGTTTTGAATTGAATCAGGACATGGAGGCAGCTATGACAGCATACCTAAGGACACTCATAAAGAGGACTTCCAGAACTGCTTCAGAAAGGTCAAAAATGACAGGTTAGTTGTGGTTCCCCAAAGGGGAGTCTGAAGGAGTTTAACAGCAATATCCCTTTTAATGCAATAAATTTTTAAAAATTAAATATTCATCATATATTTCTTTCATACCTGATAATTTTTGTTTTACCAGGGTACTTTGAGTAATACTTCCTGAATACTCTGCAGAATATACAGATGAAAGTGAAGGGGACTGGCATGCACATAGGGACGTGTAGAGAAGAAATATGATGAGGGATGGGATGCAGGCTGCATGACACAAGGATCTGCCCCTTCTGTTCATTTGCTCTCCTCCAAAAACCAAAGGCAGCCTTCCTTTGTCAATTCAAGAAGGATATTTGCAAGTAAGCTCATGTATTTGTAATTTTGTATTTCAATAAAGAAGTTTGAAAAAAAAATCCACGTCTTTTCTGTCCATTCATTGGTTGATGAGCATTTGGGTTGTTTCCTAAATTTAGCTATTACCAACTGTGCTGCTATGAACATGAATGTGCATATATCACTGTGGTATGATGCTTTTAATTCTTTCAGGAAGATAACAAGAAGCGGGAGAGAATGGGTCAAATGGAACCTCTAGTTGTAGTTTTTTGAGAAATCCCTACATTGATTTCCACAGTGACTGCATCAGTTTACACTCTCACCAACAGCAGAGAAGCGTTCCTTGGCCCCACAGCTCTGCCACCCTTTGTTATTTGTTGATTTCTTGTTAACAGCCATTCTTTCTGGGGTGATATGGAATCTCAGTGTTGTCTTAAAATTTGCATCTTGAGAATGACCGGTGATCATTTCTATATATTTTCTGTTTGTACTTCGTCTGAGAAGTGTCTACTCATCCTCAAATGCCCGTTTTGTATTGGGTCTTTAAATATGAGGAATCTGAGTTTTTTCATCAAGTTTATTGGTACATTTTAGGTGTACAATATAATGAGATTCATCATTGGAAATTTGTACCTTTACATAATCTCTCTTGGTTCTTATTTTTCCCCATTACCCTGCCCTCCCTTCAACCCCTCCTTCCCTCCCTATTTACAAAGGCTTTGCTACCATTTTTTCATTTTTCATATTAATTCTATTCCCTTCTTTCCTTTCCCCAACCCATCCAAATTTCCTTTCCCCTTTGGACCTTTTCTTCCTATTTCACATTATCAATTATACATTTTGACCCATATTTACACTTTGAGTTTTTCCACACCAGAGAAACTATTCAGTATTTACACATCTGTGTCCAACTTATTTCATTTAAGAGTATCACCTCAATGTGCAGCCATTTAGCTATAAATGTCTCTAGTTTCTCGTTCTTTATGGCTGAGTAGTATTCCATTTTATATATATAAAAACAGAAAAAACACATCTTTATCTCATTTCTAGTTGATAGGGAACTGGGCTGTTTCCAAGTTTTAGCTCTTATACATTTTGCCACTATAAACATGGGTATCCATATATCACTGTGGTATGATTCTTTGAATTCTTTAGGAAGATATCCAGCAGGGGAATAGCTGGGTCAAATGGAACCTCTAATCCTAGTTTTTTGAAGTATTGCCATATTGATTTCCACAGTCAATATGAAACCAGTATCCACTCTGACCAACAATAGACAAGGGTTCCTTTCTCCCCACAACCTCGCCAGCATTGGTTATTGGTTGATTTCTTGATAGCAGCCATTCTTTCTGGGGTGAGGTAGAATCTCAGCATTGTTTTCGTCTGCATCTCTCAAATGACCAGTGATGTTGAACATTTATTAGTATGTTTATTTGATGCTTTTACTTCTTTGTCTGAGAAATGTCTTCATTTCAGATACTCATTTTTGAATTGGGTCTTTATATTTGAGGGTGGGTCAGATTTGTTTTTAGTTCTTTATATATTCTAGATAGAAGTCCTTTGCCTGAGGAATAGCTGGTAAAAAAAATTTCCCACATTGTAGATTGTCTCTTAGCTCTGCTGGTGGTTTCTCTTGCAGTGCAGAAACTTTTTAATAAGATGAGATCCCACTTGTTGATTCTTCGTGCTTGTTCCCATGCTACTGAGGATTTGTTCATAAAGTCTTTTCCTGTGCCAATGTCTACTAGGGTTCCACCTAGCTTATCTTCCAGCAAGTTTAGTGTTTCTGTTTCAATATTTAGACCTTTAGTCCACTTTGATTTTAGTTTAGTGCATGATTAAAGATAAAGGTCTAGTTTTAATCTTTGGTAGGTTGAAATCCAGTTTTTCCAACATCATTTATTAAAGAGGCTGTCTTTCCTCCAGTGAGGATGGTTGGCTCCTTTGCCAAAGATGAGATAGCTGAGTATGTCTGGAGTCGTTTCTGCATCTTCTAATCTATTCCACTGATCCTCAGGTCTGTTTCTTTGCCAGTGCCATGCTGTTTTTATCACAGTAGATTTGTAGTATAGTTTCAAGTTGGGGATTGTGATACCCCCTGTCATGTCACTGTTGCCTATTCTAGGTCTCTTCTGGTTCCAAATGAATTTTTGGATTGTTTTTTCTAGTACTGTGAAATATACTGTTGGATTTTCTATCTGGATTGCATTGAATCTTCATAGCAGTTTTGGATGTATGGCCATTTTCACTATGTTTGTTCTTCCTACCCAGGAGCAAGGGATGTTTTTCCATTTTCTTATATCCTCTTTTATCTCTTTTTTCAGAGTGCTGTAGTTCTCTATGTAGAGGTTTTTTGCTTCCTTCATTAGATTTCTTGCTAAATATTTCAATTTTTTGTGCTATTATGAAAAAAATTGTTTCCCTAATTTCTCTCTCAGTGAGTCTGTTATTTGTGTACAAGAAGGCTACTGATTTTTGAGTGTTGACCTTGTATCCAGCTACTCTACTAAATCTGTCAATTAGGTCTAGAAGTCTTTGGTGGAGTTTTTTGGGTCTTCTGTGAAGAGTATCATATCGTCAGCAAATAATGACAGTTTAACTTCTTCCTTTCCTATGCTTTTTTCTCTTATTTCTTTCTCTTGTCTAATTGCCAAGGCCACTGTTTGCAGAAATTTATTGAATGGGAGTGGTGATTGGGGACATCCTTGTCTGTTTTGTTTCCTAATTTTTTGTTCCTAATTGCATGGATTTGAGCTTTTTCTTTTTTGATAAAATTGGCTGTTTATCAATTTTATTTATACTTTCCAAAGATCAGCTCTTTGATTCATTCATTTTTTGGTATCATTGTCTTAGTCTCCATTGCATTGATTTCT